GTGTGCCGGAATGTGGGTGTGCGGGGCGCATGTGGGCGGCAGCACTGGGGCTTTCGGGGTGGGGCTCCGTTATGGTGCCACGAAACGTGGTGACGGGTGTGCCGACTTGGTGTTGGGACTCCTGCGGCGGCAAAGACTGTGAAGCCTTTCGTGGGCTCCCTATGGGCACGAAGCGTTTGAGGGTGTTGCGAATGGGTGTGCTGGACGCAAGCGGGCGCCAGCACTGGGTGCCTTAGGTGGAGCTCACTATGGGGGCCACGAAGCGTGTGAGGGGTGTGCCGAAATGGGTGTGCGGGACGCATGCGGACGGCAGCACTGGGGCCTTCGGTGGAGCTCCCTATGGGGCCACGAAACGTGTGAGGGGTGTGCCGAAATGGGTGTGCGGGACGCATGCGGACGGCAGCACTGGGGCTTTCGGTGGAGCTCCCTGTGGGGCCACGAAACGTGTGAGGGGTGTGCCGAAATGGGTGTGCGGGGGGGGGTGGACGGCTGCGGCGGCATCACTGGCCTTCGTGGGGCTCCTATGGGCCCACGAAAATTTTTGTTGAGTGTGTGTCGAAGTGTTCGTCCAAAACGCATTGGCGGGCTGCAGCACTATGCCTTTCGGTGGGGCTCCCTATGGGGCCACGAAACGTGTGAGTGGTGTGCCGAATTGTGGTGTGGAACCGCATCGGGGTCGGCAGCTCTGGGCTTTCCGGTGGGGCTTCGTAATGGGCCACGAAGCGCGTGAAGTGGTGTGCCACTTGGTGTGGGTGACACATGCGTGCGCGGGCACTACGCATGCGTGCGCGAGCACTGGGGCCTTCGTGGGGCCTCCCTATGGGGCCACGAGCGTGTGGAGGGGTGGCCGATTGGGTGTGCGGGACGCATGCGGGCGGCAGCACTGGGGCCTTCGGTGGGGCTCCCTATGGGGCCACGAAGCGTGTGAGGGGTGTGCCGACTTGGGTGTGGGTGACGCATGCGGGCGGCAGCACTGGGGCCTTCGGCGGAGCTCCCTATGGGGCCACGAAGCGGTGTACTGGGTGGGTGAGGAGGAGAGGAGGGGAGGAGGAGAGGAGAGGAAGAGAGGAAAGGAGAGGAGGACGCGGGGACCGTCTCTTCAAAACGAGGACCCAACACCACAGAATGGTTGGGAAACAAGTACCCTGGGGACGTACCTAACCCCTGCGCAACACGGGGCATGAGTAGCTTGGGAGACGTTATACGGAGGTGATGACGTGACATGGGCGCATCTACGTCTGCAAGCGGCATTCGTGAGGCTCGCAGCCCCCCAGGGATTGCGCTGTCCCGCTCAGATCTGCCTGGTGCCTCGCTCCGCTGGACCCACCAGCAGCCCTCGAAACTGGCGACAATTTCGCAGATCGGCGAGGTCCCGCTCAGATCCGCGCGGTGCCTCACCCCGCAGGACCCACCAGCAACCATCGAAAATGGCGACATTTTCGCAGACCGCAGCCCCCCAAGGACGGCGAGGTCCCGCTCAGGCCCGCGCGGTGCACCATTCCGCAGGAACCACCCGCCGCCCTCGAAAGTGGCGACAACTTAGCAAATCGCAGCCCCCCCCCCCAAAGGACGGTGAGGTCCCGCTCAGGTCCGCGCGGTGCCTCACTCCGCAGGACACACCAGCAGCCATCGAAAGCGGCGACGGTTTCGCAGATCGCAGCCCCCCAAGGACGGCGAGGCCCCGCTCAGTTCCGCGCGGTGCCTCACTCCGCAGGACCCACCAGCAGCCTTCGAAAGCTGCGACGGTTTCGCAGATCGCAGCCCCCCAAGGACGGCGAGGTCCCGCTCAGGCCCGCGCGGTGCCTCACTCCGCAGGACCCACCAGCAGCCATCGAAATTGGCGACATTTTCGCAGATCGCAGCCCCCCAGGGACGGCGAGGTCCCGCTCAGGCCCGCGCGGTGCTCCATTCCGCACAAAACCGCCAGCAGCCATCGAAAGTGGCGACAATTTAGCAGATCGCAGCCCCCCAGGGACGGCGAGTCCCGCTCAAGTCCGCGCGGTGCCTCGCTCCGCAGGACCCACCAGCAGCCATCGAAAGTGGCGACAATTTCGCAGATCGCAGCCCCCCAGGGACGACGAGGTACCGCTCAGGTCCGCGCGGTGCCTCACTCCGCAGGACCCACCAGCAGCCCTCGAACAAGGCGACAACTTAGCAAATCGCAGCCCCCCCAGAGGGACGGCGAGGTACCGCTCAGGTCCGCGCGGTGCCTCACCCCGCAGGACCCACCAGCAGTCCTCGAAAGTGGCGACGGTTTCGCAGATCGCAGCCCCCCAGGGACGGCGAGGCCCCGCTCAGGTCCGCGCGGTGCCTCACTCCGCAGGAACCACCAGCAGCCCTCGAAAGTGGCGACAGTTTTGCAGATCGCAGCCCTCCAGGGACGGCGAGGTCCCGCTCAGGCCCGCGCGGTGCCTCACTCCGCAGGACCCACCAGCAGCCCTCGAAAGTGGCGACAGCTTTGCAAATCGCAGCCCCCCAGGGGCGGCGAGGTACCGCTCAGGTCCGCGCGGTGCCTCACTCAGCAGGAACCACCAGCAGCCCTCGAAAGTGGCGACAACTTCGCAAATCGCAGCCCCCCAGGGACGGCGAGGTCCCGCTCAGGTCCGCGCGGTGCCTCACCCCGCAGGACCCACCAGCAGCCCTCGAAAGTGGCGACGGTTTCGCAGATCGCAGCCCCCCAGGGATGGCGAGGCCCCGCTCAGGTCCGCGCGGTGCCTCACCCCGCAGGACCCACCAGCAGTCCTCGAAAGTGGCGACGGTTTCGCAGATCGCAGCCCCCCAGGGATGGCGAGGTCTAATTTGGGTCCGCGCGTGGCGTCACTGTGCTGGGCCCCCCAGCCCCCCCCAGGGATGGCGAGGTCTAATTTGGGTCCGCGCGTGGCGTCCATGTCTGGCCCCAGCAGTCCTCGAAAGTGGCGACGGTTTCGCAGATCGCAGCCCCCCAGGGATGGCGAGGTCTAATTTGGGTCCGCGCGTGGCGTCACTGTGCTGGGCCCCCCAGCAGGCCTCGAAAGTGGCGACAGTTTCACAGATCGCAGCCCCCCAGGGATGGCGAGGTCTAATTTGATTCCGCGCGTGGCGTCACTGTGATCGCAGCCCCCCAGGGGTGGCGAGGTCTAATTTGGGTCCGCGCGTGGCGTCACTGTGCTGGGCCCCCCAGCAGGCCTCGAAAGTGGCGACAGTTTCACAGATCGCAGCCCCCCAGGGTTGGCGAGGTCTAATTTGAGTCCGCGGTGAGTACCCACTGTGCTGGGCCCCCCAGCAGCCCTCGAAAGTGGCGACAGTTTCACAGATCGCAGCCCCCCAGGGATGGCGAGGTCTAATCTGAGTCCCCGTAGGGCGTCACTCCGCTGGGCCCCCCAGCAGCCCTCGAAGGTGGCGACAGTTTCACAGATCGCAGCCCCCCAGAGATGGCGAGGTCTAATCTGAGTCCCCGTAGGGCGCCACTCCGCTAGGCACCCCAGCAGCCCTCGAAAGTGGCGACATTTTCACAGATCGCAGCCCCCCAGGGATGGCGAGGTCTAATTTGAATCTGCGTGTGGCGTCACTGTGCTGGGCCCCCCAGCAGGCCTCGAAAGTGGCGACAGTTTCACAGATCGCAGCCCCCCAGGGATGGCGAGGTTTTTTTCCCCCCCCCCCCCCCCCCCCCCCCTTAAATAATTTTGGGTCTCTGCCTTGGCGGCACTGTGCTGGGCCCCCCCGGCAGCCTCGGAAAGTGCGAATTTTCAACAGATCGCAGCCCCCCAGGGATGGCCAGGTCTAATTTGGGTCTGCCCGTGGCGTCACTGTGCTGGGCCCCCCAGCAGGCCTCGAAAGTGGCGACAGTTTCACAGATCGCAGCCCCCCGCAGGCAAGACAGGAGGAGGCAAGAGGGAGACGGGACGGGAAGCAGGAAGTGGAGACCACACTGCTCTATTCAAAACGAATACCCAACCAAGGTTGGTTGCGAATAATCAAACACATAGTTTTTGTTTGGGGGGGATCTTGTTGAGCATATTTGTAATCATTTGTCGTCCAAAATCCGCCTGTAGGTGGATAGGCCCCACCCAGCCGGAAAGCGGCGAGACAACCCAGGATCCGTCTCCCTCAATGGAAGAAGAAAACCGCCATAGACATAAACTTTTGGCGGTCCGCGCGGCTTTCTTGGATCCGCGCCGTAGACCCCTCCCTGGCGCGCGGAGCGCCAGGAGCGGCGCTGGAGGCGCCGCCGGGGGGGTGGGGCGGGACCCAGCGCAGATCCAGAAATCCGCGCGGAGCGCCCAAAGTTTATGTTCATTGCGCTTGCTCTTCTTCGGCTCAAGGCCCGCTTCCCCCATGCCGAGGGAGAGGCCCAAGCAGCTGCCGCACGTCCGCCGGGCGAAGACCGGTGTAATACAAACTGTCACACCGTCGGGGGCAGAAACTTTCCAGCCGTCCTGGGGCAGGCGCTCCCCATGGCAGAAAGCCACGGCCGGGCCCGTCACAGAACACCCCCCCTTCCAGAACACAAGGCCCCCCGCCGGCCAAAACCGAAGAACACTCGAGGATGTATACCCCCCCCAGGATCGGGAGCGGCCAAGAGGGGGGTGTCCAAGATGGGGGGGTGCAAATCATGACCGGCGGCATGTGCGCGGCCCAGCGGGGGGGCCAGGGACGTGATGAAATAAGAGGAGGCGCCATGAGATCTGGGGAGATACCATGCCCCCCGCCACGACGTCCACCCCCCCCCTAGTCACCACCCCCCTCTCTGCCGCCCCCGACAGGATGCACACGAACACTCTGCCGCCGGGGCGCAGGCCTGACCCCTCTCCCCTCGCTCCTCGTCCCTCTCCACGCCGAGGATATACCCCGAGGATATACCGCCCCCCCCGAGGATATACCCCCCCCCGAGGATATACCCCTCCCCCTCGGGGATGTACCCCCCCCCGAAGATATACCCCTCCCCCTCGAGGATATACCCCTCCCCCTCGAGGATATACCCCTCCCCCTCGAGGATATACCCCTCCCCCTCGAGGATATACCCCCCGCCCGCGATCCTCGTCCTTCTCCACGCCGCGGTGCGCCACGAGGCGGCGGACGAAGGCCACGCCGAGGCGGCCGCCCGCCGCCTCGAGGTGCGCGACGAGGCCCTGCACGGGCGCGCGGAAGTGCAGCGTGACCTGGGCGAGGAGGGGGTCTCTCTGTGTGTGTCCTCCTCCTCCTCCTCCTTCTCCTCCTCCTCCTCCTCCTCCTCCTCCTCTTCCTCCTCCTCCTCCAGCTCCTCCTCCTCCTCCTCCTCCTCCTCCTCCTCCTTCTTCCCCACAGTGTGTGTGTGTGTGTTTTTCCCCGCAGAGTGCGTTTTTCCCCCACGGGGGGTCGGCCAGGGACCGGCGAGGGCACTGGATGAGGGGTCGTGTGCTTTCTCCTTCTGGCTCACGGGGTCCAGATCCAGAGGGGAGCAGAAAGCAAGCGCGTCTCGACAGGGACCGCTGCTCCAAGAGAAAGCGAAACTTCTAAACTGCCCTCGAGTTGAGCCCTGAGGTGGCTTAAGCTACGAAGCCGACGATTTTACTGGTTTGAAAAGATGCCTTCCACACTCGGCAAGATGCTGCGAGTCCAGAGTCTGGGAACTGGTGGAACTCCAACCGTGCAGTGGCATAGATATCACCGCCGCCCTCACCAGATGAGGAATCCTCCAGGGTCTGAAGCCTCCTGGGCCCATTCCTCAGCAACGCCGCCACCGTTAGTCCCAGGAGGCCGCCCAGGGCCCCGCGACAGTCGAGACCTTCCGCGGCCCTCCCGAGCGTCTCTTCCCGAATGGCGTTTCGCCAGAGGGCCCCAGAAAATCGCACGACAGGACCACAGAAGCACAGGGGGGGACGGGGAGCCCCAGACCGCCCCCGTCCAGCAGCCGCTTCCCATGAACCTTCCCTCCCCGTGCCGCGCGGCACGAGCTGGACTGCCGTAGCGTCCCCGGCAGCCCTCCGTCCTCGGTCCGGGCCCCGAACGCCAACACTCGCCGAAATTCCTGGCGCGCCTCCCGCGGTTCCCAGGCGCCTCCGGCAGTACTTTCTGGGAGCTGAGCGCGTCCCAGAGCTGGCCGAGAGGTCCCCGAGACAGGCACGGCGGCGGCATGGGCCGAAGGCCAGCTGGCCTCCCAAACAGTCGGGGGCAGTCTCAATGAGACCCGGGCGCTCCGCGCCCCAAGGCCCAGGTGTGGAGGCACGCGGAGGAGCGGGCCCGTGTGAGGCCAGGTCTGGTTGCTCTTGGCCTTCGCTCTGGAGCCCCTAGGATTCAACTGAGGTGTTGTGTACGGGTCAGGCCGCCACCGTGCCGCTGGGCACGGGGTGGGCGTGTCCTCAGGACCTCTGCCTAACCTTAAGTCGGGCCCTGTCCCTCTACAGGGGGATTTTCGACGAAAAAGAAGACATACACCCCAAAATAATGAAAAGATCATCCAGAAATCGTCTGGGGACTATGTTTGGAATATTTAGCCCTTTTTGCATCATTTTTGGGGTATGTTTTACCTTTCGTCGAAAACCCGCCTGTAGGGGGGCACGCCCGACATAAGCCTAACCCCAAACGCGCTCCCGAGCCGTGCCTGGACCTCGCATCGCCAAACCTCTCGGGGCCTCCTGCGTGCCCCCCTGGGGCGTCCCGCGCGGCTCCTCGCGCGACTTTTTTGTCGGAGCCACGAGGGGCCCCCAAGACGGGCAGGGGCTCCAAGAGGCCCCCAAGAGGGCCCCAGCACGCCCCGAGACGCCCAAAGGTCGCTCAAGTCGCGCAAGGAGGCCTCCAGATGGCCCAAGAGGCGCCCAAGACGGCCCAAGAGGGCCCCAAGACGGCCCCCAAAGGGGCCCAAGCGAGGGAACCCCGAGCCTTCCGCCCCAAGAGGCCCCCAGGACGTCCCAGGAGGCGCCCCACCGGCCCCAAGAGGCTCGCAAGAGGCCTCCAAGAGCCCCCAAGAGGCGCCAAAGCTGTCCCGCCCGAAATCGGCCCCCCAAAGGCCTCAAAACTGACCCTAAGACGCCCCCCCACGAGATCCCAACGAACATCCGATAGGCTTCATACCCACAACCCAGGCACGGTGATGGGATGGGCCGAAAGCCGTTAGATAGAACGGAGACCTAATAAAACTCCGGTTCAAATTCCGACCTGGTCCCAGAGCGAGATTTCCTGAATTCTCGGCCCTGTCCTCCCTGTCCTTTGGCCAAGCACTGAGGGCAGGGGATTCTCAATCCTTGGCCCGTTGGCAGCATGAACACTCCCTCTTCCTTCTCCTCCTCCTCCTCCACCTCTCCTCCTCCTCCTACTGCCTCCTCATCCTCCTCCTCCTCCTCCCTCCTCCTCCTCCTCCCCTCCTCCTCTCCTCCTCCTCCTCGCCTCCTCTCCTCCTCCTCTCCTACTCCCCCGGGGGACCCGCGGCGCCTCCTCGCCCTTGGTGCCGCACCCCCCTCCTCTCCCTCCTCCTCCCTCCTCCTCCCTCCTCCCTCCTCCCTCCTCCCCTCCTTCCTCCTCCTCCTCTCCCCCCCCCCTCCTCTCCTTCCTCCTCCTCCTACTCCTCTTCCTCCTCCTCCTCCTCCTCCTCCTCCTCCTCTCCCTCCTCCTCCTCCTCCTCCCCCTCCTCCTCCTCCTCCTCCTGATCACCGACCCCCCCCCTGTCGAGCCCGCTCTCTTGACCACCCGGGGGGCCGCGGAGGCCCGCTGGGCCACTGGGGTGGCCCTGTCCGAGGCCAAGCAAGACCTCGGGGGCTGCCGTTGCGCAGGCCGACGCCTCGCCACCCTGCAAATTGGACGCCCGAAAGGGGAGGAGGGAGGAGGGAGGAGGGAGGAGGGAGGAGGGGAGGAGGGAGGAGGAGGAGGAGGAGGGAGGAGGGAGGAGGGAGGAGGAGGAGGGAGGTGGAGGAGGGAGGAGGAGGAGGGAGGAGGAGGAGGAAGGAAGGAGGAGGAGGAGGGGAGGAGGGGAGGAGGAGGAGGAGGAGGAGGAGGAGGAGGAAAAGAGGAGGAGGAGGGAGGAGGAGGAGGGGAGGAGGAGGAGGAGGAGGAGGAGGAGGAGGAGGAGGGAGGAGGAGGAGGAGGAGGAGAGGAGGATTTTTTTGACATCAACATCAAGGGAGAGTGCCTGCCCAGACAATTAGGGCAGGCTAGCTGGCCAAGCCAGCAGGTAACTAACACCTGAAAAGAGAGGAAAGGCAGGAGGCCACAGGGACATCTCCAGCTAGCTGGAGGATTCCCCGTGGCCCGCTGCTTCTCCCCCAGGCGTTAGTCCGAACTTGAGTCGCCCTCATCGCGGTGAGCGAGCACCGAGACAAACGACGCCTCTCTGGCCACACTCTGAGATGGGGCCGGTGCACTGGGCAAAACAAAAAGAGGAGGGGGGGGAGGAGGAGAAGGAGGGTCCTGAAAAAGAAAACGAGAAGCTTCATCGTCAGCCTCCCAATCCTGCAGCAATGCAGGCTCCGACACGATCGCTCCCCCCCCCACTCCCCGCTCCACCCCGTCCCCACGGTCCTCGGCGGCGGTGGCGGTGCGCGGAGGGCCATGCTCCTGCGCGGCGGCGGCACCTGAAGCGCCGACCTGATGGCCTCCTCCCTTCTGCGCCCAGGGCCCTCTCTCGACCGAGACACCAGGACGCTTTGGATGGAGGCCTTTACAGATCGGGTGCCAACTATTGTACTTCTTAGATCTGGTCGGGCCAATACAGATATCAGCAAGACCCGAAGTCCGACCGTGAGACGAGTACGAATAACATCTGGTGCAGATCACCAAGGAAGAATGGTCTGAGCAGGCTAGCGTCAAACACCGATGTCCCCGCGCCTCCAATACCTGCGCCTCCAGCCCACGAACGGGCGTGCATTTAGAGGGGGGAGGCGGGGGACCGTGGGTAGACAGACGGCTGACTTTAGCACAAACCGAACACTTCCAAAAGCCCGAGACGGACCCAAGCTCAAAAATCTGGATGGGCTGCCACTCGCAACGTACAGAAGAAACCACCTGGGGGGGGTCCTTTGGCGGCTGAATCCACACAACGTCTTGGAGGTCTAATTTGGGCCACAACGGCATCAACTTCGCAGACAGCGACGCCACAGCCCTAGAAAACTTAATGTCGAGATCGAGCCTACACCTGTCATCCTCCGACGGCTGTGGGTGCCCAAGGTACCCCTCCCCCGCAGAAGCACTTTTAGCTCCTACGTCGGCATGGTGGTTTCCAAAACGGCACATCTTATCATGATTGTCGGTCCACTCGTCCAATGAAAGATGGGCTTTCACTTTGTTCAAAGAGCGGACCTTCCAAAAATCAGACAGGAGGGAGAGGGAGAACCCACTATAACAGCGCTTAGGAGACAGCTGGTCAATCTGAGGGCGACCGAAGTGGTCTTTGACCAGCTGAGCGTCAGTGTAAAAATCCGAAGGTCCTCCTGAGAAAAGTATTGCTTGGCAAATCGCAGCGAACACTCCAGCAGGGGCAGTCTGGGGGTAGCACGGGGGGACGGGACCGTAGAGCTTACCCAAGAGGTCACCATGGTCGTCCACCGCCACAAAACACCAGCCTGCCCTGCTGAGCTCACGAACTACATGTTTACACGCGCTACCGTCCGTGAAAATGTTGTTGGTGAAAAGAAATTGGCCTACCTCCTGGGGAAAATCCTCCCTGGCCCAGAAAGTACCAGACGACTCGGCCGCGGGGCCCGGGAAATAATCCCCAGGATGGGCAAAGGCACCAATACAGGATCGAATCGAATTGGGCTCCTCCAGAGCCTTGCATACAAGCTCGGGTGTTACAAGACTGGAACGGAGCTCGACAACCTCCTGGCACTCGCAGACCCAGAGTCGATGGTGGAGCGTGTCGGGGGCTGAGCCGCAGAGGTGGCACGTGGGGTCTATCTGGTATCCCAGTCGAACAGCTTTAGAACGAGTCCACACAGCATCCGTAGCAACAGCCCGAATACAACCTTTCTCGAGCGCCGTATATTTTTTGCGGCGGAGCTCGGACTTCACCACATCGAAGCAAAGACGATGAGGCACATCCCATTTAGCACCTGCTTCCCATTCAAGAATCCTGAAGACGGCCCCTCGGAGATGCTGCTTGACAAGCTGGGGGGACATGAGGGTCATGGAAAGCTCGATCCCCTTGTCAGTGACGAAAGTGGCGGAGTCCCTCATCGTCCACGAGATCCTC